GAGGAAGAGGGAACAGGAGCGCAGGTGTGCTGGAGGAGGAGCCCAGCCACAGAGGCTCCCCGAGGAGCAGGGCAGAACTCAGTGAGAGGCAAAGCACAGAATCAGGGGGTGCCAAGGAACAGGTGCACGAGACCCACATGGGACAAGACTCGCAGGCTAAGACTCCAGGGTGGCTCAGGGGTTGGAGCAGCAGGACGTGGCAACAGCCCTCCGGGACTGGAGGCTGGCAGCACCACAGAGGTACAGGAGAAGAGGACGAGAGATGCCCGGGGACAGGTGAATGAAGGTACCAAAGACACAACCTGGCAGAGGCACAGAGAAGTGACAGGTCTAGAGTTCCAGCCCTGTGTGACAGCACCTCTTCCCCCCATCATGACCAAGACACCCCTCCCACCTCTGCAGTATGGCAAGGAAGTCCCCTTGGGTGTCTGTGCCTGGACTCCGCACTTCTAGGGACAGCCTGGAATTCAGGTGGACAGAAATGACATTCAGAGCAGTGACTCCTAATCCTTGGAGATCCGGGGCRCACAGATCTGGCACRGACTCCTGAGAGCCACAGTCAGCCCTCAGCATCCGTAGGTTTTGTGTCCAAAGATTCAACTCAACATGGATCAATATATTCATAAAAACTGCATCTGCGCTGAGCTTGTCTTTAGTCCCTAAAGAACACAGTGTGACCTGTACGAGGCATAGGCATAATCTGGTGACTTCAGTATGCAGGAGGACGTGGGCAGGTTCCATGCACCTGCCAGGCCATTTTATGTAGGGACTTGAGCATCCTCAGTCTTTGGTATCCACGGGGCTCCTGGAATCACCTCCCCAGACACCCAGGGACCACTCTCTCGTTCTCTCTGTTCTTTCCATCAGCACAGGCTCTGGCTCACAGTATAATCAAAATTGCTCTGGACTTGAGCTAAATGGCATCTCATTCAACGACCACACAGGTGTGTCCCCTCCGCCACCTGTTAAGAGAACCGGAAGACCTGGCCAGAGCTGCCAGGGAAAAGATCAGGCAAAAGAAAGCCACCGCGAGGCTCCCCTCAAATTTTCTTGTACTGACCAAGGGTCTACTGTCCTTTCAAACAGTGTCCTGGGTACTTCGAACAAGTGCCAGACTAAAAGAGATTCACGGTTTCCACCAGCAGATCTGCCACTTCAGTAGATGGGGCAGGACCCAGAGAGCAGAATCTCTTAAGATCTCACACACACACACACACACACACACACACAGACACCCGACATATGTAGGCACAGGGCAGTGACCACACCCACACCCGGACAACACACGAATGCTCAGGCCACGCCCTGGGCAGCTTTCCTCTGGCTCTCTAGGGAGAGTAGAGCTCTGGTAGGTCATAGAGATGGGGCTGGTGGTCCCCACAGGATGGGCTGACCATGACTGCCACATCTCAGTGCTTCCCACAGGACAGAAGTGCTGACACAGCCACAGTCCACCTTTGTGGCAACTGTCCCCATTTCACAGATGAGGCAACTGAGGCCAAGGTGACACAGCCAGAAGTGGCACGGCCAGGGCTGCAGGTGTACATCACGCCTGCCACCTTCCCCAGGGCACAGGGAATGTGTCAGCAAGTGATGCACTGACACCTGACCTTGGTCTTCCCCTCTGCAGAATGGAAGCAGCCATTCCCACCTGCGTCCTGGAGGCTCCAGGGTCCTAACAACTCTGATGACCGCGAAGTCCTTGGGGGGGGGGGTCCACAGCATTTCCCCAAGCAACATCCCACCACCTGTGTGACCCCTGGGCCAGTCTGGACGCACCTGCAGGCTGMGTCTGGGACCTCCACCCACCCACAGAAAGGTGAAGCGCATTCCCCTGCCCTGCGCCGGGGCCCTCACAAAGATCCTACTGGGCAGCTCCGTGGCAGGCTCTGTTTGATGGCCATAATATTATTTTCTGCTGCTGACATGTCACCTTTTTCAAACTGGGAACATTTGGCTTCATGTTCCTCATGGGTAAAGCCATGGCAGTCAGACATGGAACCTCTAGGGTCTGTGGACCTGGGAGACACACAGCCAGCAAAGGGACAGGAGAAGACACACTGGCCAGGGCAGGTGACAAGGCGTGGAGAAAGACAGACGAGAAGGAGGCGGTGCAGGTGTCTTCGTACCAATTTCCTTCTACTGCTTTTTTATGCAGTACCCGTGGGCACATTGAGTTCGCACCTGAATCTGTCCAAMACTCCCCAGGCCTTTCCTCCCTGCTCCAACAAGCATTCAAGGCGCTGGGTCTCACTGAAGAAGCAGCTTCTCCGTACCAACCAAGCTGGACTGAAWAAGTGCTCTTTGCCAGCCTCCTTCTCTATAAAGGAAGCCCCGGCCACTCACTGACTTGAGGCAAGGCACAAGGCAAGAACAGAAAGCAGAAAACAGAAAAAAAAATCCCAATTTTCTCATCTGCACTGCTACTCCTCCCCTCCGAGGGAACGGCGGGCGGATGGGAACCCCACCCGGGTCAGCAACCACAGGGGTTATTTGCAGGASTGGCTAATATTTCTCACAGGCTACAAAAGCAGTGGAGTTTGGGGTGTGACACCCCTGAGCACACTGCCACAATTGAGTGTGACGACTCCGATCACGTTCTTGGAGGCTCGCTCATTAAATCCCCCCACTCCTTAGCCAAACCCACTGATCCTGGAGCCATGAGTTCAACGCCTTCGCATTCCCGGCAAGCAGGCCCAGCAGCCGGTTGGACTGCTCGCGCCCCTGACCATCTGCCCATGGGGCCATCTGCCGACTGTTCCGGGCGCCCTGGAATGAGATGCCTCTCATTACTGCCCAGAAGGAACCCACCTGGATGAATGGAAAGAAGCCCACAGCCACTGGGGAGAAGGCCACAAAGAGCTGGGGGGCAGCCAAAAGGGATGTGCCCCTGTGGCGGGGGAAGGCAGGCAGGAAGGGAAAYGAAACAGAGCAAGGGGCCAAAGCACGGCCAAGTGCAAGGGCTGAAGAGGCACATGCAGGAATGCAGGAGAGGCGGGGGCCTCTCAAGTAACAGGGCCCCTCGGCGTCTGCCAAGAAAAGTGCAATAAGGGTAAAATCTCTCACTGAGCTCAGGGCCTGACCAAATGGGGGAGCTGCAGAGGACTACCAGGTCAGCAAGTCCTTCACTGGGCAGATGAGTCACTAAGACACAGAGAAGTGAGGTGACCTATGCAAGATCACACAGCAGGGCAGAGATGGAAGGGAACCAGACTGCTGACTTCCAGTTGGGAGCATTTCCCCTACAGCAACGGGCTCCTGYCAGGCAACTCCTCCAACCACAGTCGTCACCAACCACTCACTCGCTCAAGAAATATTACTTATTGACCCTCGGTGATCAACGTCTGCACCCAGAAGGGAGGCAGAGCACCTTGATGTGGACCTTCCTGGATGACCCTGAAATGGGCTATGCTCCTCTCCTGGCTCAGGTGGGACTCCAGACCACCCTGGAGGCAGGGAGGAAAGGCCCACTCGGTCAAGCGGCAGCCTCCCGCACTGGCCCAAGTCCTGGRGTGTGCACAAAGGGCCCCCCAAAGGATGGCATCCACAATCTAGAAGGCAAGGCCTGGAGCTAGGCAGAAATAGTGAACCTCAACCTTGGAGGCTGTCTCATGGTAAGAAGGAAGGCAAAACAGGAAAGAACTGTCCCCGATGCCTCGGAGCTGAAGACRGGGACAGGGAGGGCAGCAGGGAGTGAGCCTGCAATTTAAAATGCAGGGAAATTCCAAGTAGGAGGGGACAGCAGAGCAATGCTGCTCCAGCTCCGGAAAGACAGAAAAAAAGCATCCAGACAGACCTCCAAACCACAGGTCAAAAAGATCATCACTGAAAGACACCAAGTCTGGCTTCTCTGGGGGGTGAAGTTCCTTCCACTTGGACCCTCTTCTGAACCAGACTATTAGCTTTTCATATAAGACAGGAAGTATGTTGACCTTCACWCTTGGAAAATAAAAATCTCTTTTCTAAAATATGTACCTGATGGGCCACCAGGCAGAGTGCCCACCTCCTCAAAACAAAAATGACATTTGCAAAAAGGCCTCCTGGAATCTGGCTGTTCACAAGCAAACTGAGCACCGATGCTGGGTCCAGCAAATAGACCTTGGATTTGGCTCAACCAAAACATCACAGCCCTCTGAGCAACACAAAGGGCACCTGGCTGTGGGTACCAGCAGTTTTAGAAAGGACAGTTAGTATCTGTGGCTCCTCCACCAAGCAGGGCTGCCTAATTCTTATGTCCAACCCAAGCTAAAGAGCATTTGCCGCATTTGATTTTCACGTCAGTGGAACAGAAGTTTCCTGGCTGGGCATTTTATTTGCTGAACCCTGTCCTTATTTCAAGAGGAAGCACTCTTAGGAATCTTTTCATTTTTAATCAAAATCAAATATTTATGAGTGAAAGCTCAAAATAGGTAGCTTTGAAGATGACTTCAAACGCTGTACTTTCACAACCAAATAACATTTTGGGGTCAAAGAAGACAAAAGTCCTCAAGTAGAGAAATCAAGACGCCATTCCTCTCTTCCTACCAAAATTCCTTAGAACCAGATGCTCAAATTCACTGGAGAACACCAAGTTCCACAGAAAACGAGAGCAAGGAAATAAGACAAAGGCGAGCCCACCCAGACCCTTATTTAGTAGGTCTAACCACTGCTCGGTTCATCAGCTTCTCAAAGGGAGACCCAACCACACAGGCTCGTTGGCTGTCTCACGGCTCTAAGGGTGGTGACAGAGTTGGTGCTTCTTACTGATCATGGTGGTCCCCCCGGCCAGGGCCGCCTTGGTGCCCTGAAAGAAGTCATCGGCAGAGGTCATTCCCTGGTCAGGCATCTGGAAACGAGTGTGGACATCAATTCCTCCAGGAATCACCATTCTGGAATGCGCTTCGATGGTCTTCACCCCTCCTGGCACGATCAGGTTTTCTCCTATTTGCCTAAATAAACAGGGTTGGTGATAAGGGCAGTCAGTAAAATGTGGATTCAAATAAGATCAGACAGCTTATCTTCACTAAGCTCCAAACTATCCTCCGCCATGTGCCGGGGACTTTTCAGAGTCTTGTCATCATTCATCACCAGAGATCCCCCCCACCCCTCACCCACAAAGGGCGCTGCAGCCAAATAAACTAGACAACAAAATTTACATAAGGCACCAGAGGCCCCATTCGCAAATTAGCTACCAGAAACCAATAAGGTCAAATGGTAACAAGGCCCCAAGGTATTTATATGTCATCTGACCTTCTTGTAACACACACCATTGAGCTAATTATCCAATAGCAATTTGCTTCAGACCTGAGTGCATTTTCCAAACATTTATTTTTACCATATCCTTTTCAATAGAGAGAAAACAGAGGTGGGAGGGTGGAGATGGAACCAAAAGGGGGAAAAAAGTGAACACTATAATGGCTGCAATTTTTAAATGTGGAAACAGGTGCTTGGCCATTCAGATAATAAAGGCAGACAAACGAATACTCATCATGTTGGGCACATGATTCGTTTCCAATGTTTAAGAAAATATTTTTACTATATCTTTCTACTGTCTTAAAAATTAATCAAAGAGGGGTTGATTAAAGTTCTGAAACAAATGAGTGATGACTAAAAATAGCACTCAGGCCTCCTCCCTTCCAGGCCACTGTCCCTCTGCCAGGCCAAATCATGCTGCCTTATAATTGGGAGCGGAGATGGAACAAGAAAGTCACAGCATTTGAGAGCCCAGAGCTGAGACTGTCACAAGAAACACACATGGAGAAAACATTAAATGTGGAACTGCTCAACCCTATTTTCGGTTCATAAATCAGGGTGTGAGCTTCCAGGCAGTGGGCACATCCAGGTTTCCACTCCTCCGGCTGCCCTGCTGCTAGTGCCTGATGAAGGCTGCTTATTTAAAAGATGTCACTGGGTGCAGTGTTTGTTGTTAAGCAGATGTGCTATTTCTCCAGAGCCTGGGAGCTGTCCCAGTAGGAAGGGCATGAGGACACTGGTATGCACTCTGCTCATTTAACCCGCCAGAGTCCAGAAACACCCAGACTCACAACCATTCTGTTGTTCTCCTGCATGACATAATACACAATATACAAAGGGCAGCCTTATTTGTGACAGTTTCCACTTAAGAGAATAAAAACTAAAACTCCCCCCAGGATTAGGGAGTAATTTGTCTGTGGCACTTGGTAATTAACTTGGTATCCTTCTGTAGCGCCTCTAACTTGGATTCCTGATTGAGGGAGCAGATGTGGTTATCCTGATGAGAGGCTGTACTTGGCATCTGTGCCCTTTGATTGTCCATTCCAAGCAACTAAATTCTAGGAAACCTTTCACACCRTCAACATACCCTAAAGCAAGTATCTGAGCTGACAACAGAAGATATTTTGTCACCTCCATTAAAAAATAGGGCATTACCAAAGGCATAATGGTGGGGGCGGGGGGCCGAAACTTTGAAATCTGCAAATATGAATTCTCAAATTCATTAATTACCACYAATCAAAATGGAACTTAAAACAGATACTAAGTTGGTCACTCTTTGAGTCACTAAATTTAACACTTCATGTGTGAAGGGGTACCAAAGCTTGGGATCAATGGGAGGTATATAAATACTATATACATAATAATGAGTTACACTTACTTGATCAACCCATCTTCCATGTATATGTCTGCATAGAACGACTGATCATCATTAACAATTTTACCTCCTTTGATCAGAAGACGATCACTCTGAAACAAAAAGGTAGTAAAGTCACAACACATAAGCGACCTTTGAGGAACACAGGTGCTAAGTTAAATGACTGCAGGACACATTTGTACTATTCAGAAATGATGTTCCAATGAGCCAGTTTTTGAAAGCTCTGGTGACAAAGGGGAACCTGTACTGAGCAAACAATTTATCATCCAATGAGGCAGAACATACTGGCAAAGCTTATTCTACAAAAATCAACCATCTCTTTCAATTAGACCTTAAACCTGAAAGTAAAAGAAAATGGGGGGGGGCGGGATTAAAGAGCAGTGAAAACATTCCAAATAAAGAAGACAATACTTTTTGAATGACTTTTGGCTAAACCTCATTTAAAAAAAAAAAAAAAAAAGGGGGGGGGGAAACACACCCACATGTAGGAAAGTCTTGGCAAGGTCTGTGTCAGGGAAGAGTGTGACCAAAAGTCTGTTGTCAGGGGATACCCTATACAAACACATTTGGTCCAGCCACAACAAGATTTCAATTCAGAATGTCCTTCTATATTTACATTTATTTTTTGAGGCAAATCACAGCAAGCATAGCAGGGAGGGAAGGGACTATGGAAATTACACCATTTTCACTATGTAGTTAAGAAAATGGCAAAGTTTTATGATACAGTAGATGAGATGGAAAATTTTAAAATCTAACATCACAATAGATTCCTAATGCACTTATATTTTAACTGGTGATATTTGTGCAAAAAAATAAAGGCTGTGTGGCATGGGAAGGCCAGGAATGTATCAAAAATGCCACATTATGCCTCATGGCTATCCCAAATCCTGTTGAAGAAATGGAATGTGAAGGTGGTGTATTCAGTGAATAAGCACCTATTTTATTTCAATCCGGATTCAAGCTTTACAAACTGAGCCATATATTACCCCTTTAATAAGCAACACATCTCAAATGACAGCATTCATCTTGCCAAGTGTTAACCCAAACTAAGCTAAAAACAATACTCACAGCAAGTGCCATCTACATTTATCAGCTACCAAGAAAAAGAAATTACAGAAAATCTTTTATATATCTATAAGCTACTAAAGAGAAAAAAATTTACATGTCATTCCACATATTTGTTTCTCTGACATACTAAAAATCAAAATGATTTTCATTTTGAACATTGCAGGGGCTTTTTCATCTTGACATAGATACTGGGAAGTCAAATGGAAACAGTGGACAATTCCTAAAACTGATCATGATCAATGTCAATACCTCTACAAAATCCTGTCAGGTACATCAGGCTGTTGCAGCCTCAGAACATGATGGAACAAGATTYTATTCTCATTTGACAGGGAAACTGAGGCTGGGAGATGTTGAGCCTATAATAATCCCTCCTCTCCCAGATCTAGAGCTTCCATTGCTTGGGAGACCAGGAGAAACCCTGCCCTTCACCACCTGCCCCTTAGCCACTGACCTACCTGTTCCTGCCATTACCATGAATCCCCCAGCCAACATCATGTCAAGAAAAAAGCGAAATATCACAGCCCTGTTCACTCCAGTACCTTCTAGAAGGCTTCTTACATAAGAGACTGGCCATGGTGATGGAGGGAGGAAAAACATGCTATGGGTCCTAGGATAATGCAACCAGAATTTTTCAAGGGTGGAGGGGGCGCACTTTTAAAAATCGGTCTTGATTGTTTGTCTATATTTTTTTCCTCCCCACCACGTCAATGAGAAACGAAACTGCCTCATTTGTTCAAGAAGACAACAAATTATCAGGGGCTTGCTGTAAATCTGCTCCCCACCCCCACTCCCTAGCTCCCCAGACTCCTTCCTCCAGCAGGAACATAGACCGTTGGGTGCTCCATGCGCTATCCTCTGGGATCTGGGGTCTTTGCCTTCAACTCACCTTGCTGAACAACCCAGCGCATCATAGAAAATCTCAAGCGCAGGATCCCTCCCCTGCGCATTTGTTCCCACTTCTCTCCTGCGGATGGGTGTGTCCTTGTGCATGGAGAGGAAGCAGGGGTGCCCGGGGCCACAGGGACAACCAGGGCGAAACACACACCAAATCCAGCCCTATAGCACCTTTCGGCTGTTTGATTCTTTGGTGTCTGCGTTGGCCTTGGGTTCTACCCGGGAATCAGCTGGCCAACTGCGATTGCACAGCATTATATAACAATGAATTTCCCTGGCTTTCCCCCTCCCTGGGATTTCATTCCAGGATGCAGACATCAGGACTGGGGAGATTTTTCCAGGAAAAGATGGAGAGAGAGTGGGATCAAGAACCGGTGCTCATCCCTGAAGCATCGCGAATTCAAGGCACGGAGGTTTTCCGGTGATGTACAAACCAACAATTCCAGGCCCCAGAACAGCGCCCACACCTCGGGCCGCTGTGATCTTTGTCTGCCTGGGGCCGGCCGGGCCATCTGCTCGGCGCGTCGCGCAGCGCCATTACCTCTCTGAGCCCGGCTCGCCGCTGTCCCCAGCGCCCACCCTCCCAGCCCGCTTTGTATGCGCCAACACGGACGCCTCCCTGGTGGCGGAAGAAGCAGAAAAGACGCAGGAAAGCGAGCCCTGAGCCCTGCCAGGGCCCCAGCCTCAAACCAGAGGGTGAAAAAAAAAAAAAAAAAAACAAGAGAACTACCCAAAACCTGTCCCCAGTCAACAAAAAGCCTTGGCCCRGGCCCCCGCCCTCCTCTCCTGCTCATCACGGTGCCAGATTTCCCTTCCCGTTTCCCCATCATTCCGCTACACCCTGCCCTTTTCAGCATCCCTCTGCTGTCATTACGCCTTCGGGCTGAAACCCATCCCTTCTTCCAAGGAGCCGGAGGAAGGATCCAGAAAGCCCTTTATGGGGGGGCGGAAGACACCGGGAGGGAGGATCCATTTCCCCAGCTCCCCATCGCAGCTCCTGAGTCCAGCCTCGCAGCACGCAGCCCGGAGAACAATATCGAGCTTCAACCATGCATATTCAATCTGGCATCCATTTGCTTACACCCCGCAGGCCAGCACTGCAGCATCTCGGGCTGACAATAAAAGGATACAGCGGATCTGGCGCGCTACCTAAAGCTATCTCCATGTACTCACGCTCCTAATTGAATGCCTTGCAAACTACGTGCCTTATAATTCTTTATTATTCCATCTCCCACCACCACCACTCCACTATCGCCTTCATTAGCAACTGAAAATTTTTTTTAAAAAAGTTGGGTCCCTCTCCATCTCCCTCTTTTAAAAATTCCTTAGATGTTCAGTGCCACAAAAGGTTGCTAGCCGAAMGCACATTTCCCAAGTACCCAACTCACCGTGATGCGTGGAATATTTTTCTTCCCCTGATAAGACATCTCTCTCCTGGAAAAAAATAATTTCAAAAGGGCAGCTTTAAAGCAAAAATTGCTGGGAAGGGGACTTGGTACTTTTTGCAGAATTGAAGAAGGTACAACCGTTTAGCTGGTCTTGCTGGTAGCAATTTCAGGAACGTAAGGGACAAATACAATCCTCTGTTGCTCTTTCTTCCTCTCCTCCAACACAGCCCCAGCTAGGGCGGAAAAAAAGAAAGAGAGAGGGAGAGAGAGAACAGGAGGGAAGGGGGTGGAAATAAACTACAGCAATAAAAGCCTCGGTTCAAGTCAGCCACCGCGGCGCATGCGCCGCCAGCCACTCCCTTTCCTCTCAGGCAAAAGCCATCCGCTTCGAGAGAGGCGAGCACTGATTGGCCACAACCGTGGGATATGTAAATGAGGGAAAGCTGGGAGGGGCGCGGCGCCTGAGCGCGAAATGCTGCAGTGTGCGGTTGAGGGCGGCGGTCGGTGCGTGCGCCCGAGCAGGGAACGCGCCTTTGGCTCCCTTTCTTTGGGCCTGGGCATCCGGGACTGGGGCTGGCAGCAGCCCCAGATGCAGCATCTGCAACGCAGGGACAATGGAGGGGTGGTCGTTTCGAACAGGGGGAGGGGGCACAACCCCARGACGGAGGGGCTTCGGTGCAGCCCGGGCGGCACGCACACGCCCGCCCGCGCGCCAATCCGCGGAGGCCGCCGCTGCAGCCCGCGTGGGGTGACTGCGCCGAGCCAATGGCTTCGCTGGCGGCGAGCGCGCGACTGCACCGCCGGCCGGCGCCGCGCGGCCCGGGAGGGGCGCCGGGCCTCCCCCGCCCAGCCTGGAGCAAGACTTGCTCAGCCTCCGCCCTGCAGCCGGCTGGGGAATTGAGGCGGCGGCGAGTGCGGGGAAAGGAAGCCGGCGACAGGCTCGCCACCGGCCACGCCCGCCGCCTCCAGYCCCGGAATGGACGCTGGATGCGGGCTGCTGCGGCCCGGGCCACAGGGCCGGTCGCGCTCCGGGGTGCGTTGTGGCGCGGGCGGGAGGTGAGCCTGCAAAGACGGAATCTGGCCTGCGGCGGCGCGGGCTGCCAACATCTGTTGCCTGGAGCTGCAAAGAAAGCCCCGAGCAAGCGCGCGGCATCCGGGAAGGCCGCGGTCCGCGGGGCACGGGAAGCCCCACCCCGAAAGAGCCTTTTGTGCCAACAGGCCACAATCTGTGAAAGCGTAAATGGCCCTGTGTAGGCCCCTGTGTCCCCTTTTTAATGGCCACGCCCACCCGGAGCCCCTGGGGAAGTTGGGCCAGGGGGCGTTCGCTGGTGCCTACAGATCCGTGGAGGAAAAGCTGTTGGGATTCCAGCGTCCGCGGAGCCCTAAGGCCTCGCGGCGCTCTTAGCTGGCGCCCCACACTGCATCTTGAGGCAGAAAGCGAAATGAGCTGTAAAGAAGCCAGAGGGACAAAAAACAGAGCTTAAATCCCAAAGGAATGGGAAATGGTCGTTGAGAAAACCTCTAATCTCAAGAGTTAAAGACCCTGAATCCCCAATCAGAGTCGAGTCACTCTTAACCGGCTTTCAAGGTCTCTCCGTGACCCTAGCGACTGAACCGGCCTGGGAGCCCTTGGCTTTGCTGTGATGCTCTACCTTCAGAATCCTTGCGGAAGAAAAGGGCTGGCCCAGTGAGTCCCAGGCAGTCTAACCAGGCCACCTTTGGAAGGTTCCCCAGGCGGGTAC